TTGTCTCGCCTCTGGACATGGTTTATATCTAGCATTGACCTTGTAGAATAAATTATTGGATTAATACGTAAATGGTTAAAAGAGTTTGGGTATTGTTATGTATAAGAAACCATTCCTAGGCATACCAAATATCTTAACTTTAAGTAGAATTGATTCTTTTCATGATATCAAAGCCTCTTTGATTCGAACCCTGGATTTCCTATTATGCTAGTCAATTATATTTCAGCATAAAGTTTGAGTCAGTATGTCTTTTGTCCATGCTTCAAGTCATGCCCAAAGACAAACTTGTGGGGAAATGTTAAAAATAAAAAATTATATCTACGCATCCAATAATATGAGAGCTCCATTTCCCTAGATCCATAAGAAAAACATTGGTTTGATGTCCTAAGTATGACTGGGTAACCTTGACATTAACTTGAACAATGAAATAGTAAAAATAAGAAAATACTTCTTTGATCTTCTGAATATACAAACATAACTCTCTTATAGATCTTTAGGTTTCTTAAACAGATTGCATTCTTAGCTTATTTAAGAAATTTGGATTGACCATTGGATAAATTTAATCCGGTAATGTGGATTTTTAAATTATCATAACCAAGACTGGTTAAAATTATTTGTTAATTATATACAAAGAACAAAAAATACTTAACATATTCTAGTCTACCAGTCTGCCGAAATGTAATCCTAGAATTATAGAGAAATTAAAAAACTTCCAGAAATATCTATTCTGAAAGGGTTAAAACTATCAATCACAGGTGCATCAGTATACAATGATACTAATCCAACTAAATAATCTTATAATCTTTTCATCCACAACTATTTCCTATTTTGGTTTTACAATGCAACTGCTCAAATGAATATTCAATTGCATTTCGTAATGCAATTAATGACTAAAACATCTGATCAAATATACAGCTACAACATACCTTTTCTTTCAGAGGAAATTTGTGAGATACCCTAAGCAAATGGTAGGATCCAGGTTCAAGTATCTCAGTTTCATTCTTGCTATTTATACAAGGATAAAGGGGAAAATTTCTGCATTTAGCATTCTTCCAATGACAGTAAACAAAAATTGATGTGTTTAAATCTCGTTTTGCTTTGGTACAATTAAAGATCGTACTGCATGATAATGATTCACTCTCAAGCAATTCCAGCTGATCCACAAGTTTGCCTATGCCATCCACACAAATATCATAGTCCGTCACCTGTAAATCCAAAATAATAGTAAAGTTTAAACCCCTAATTCTGTGGACAGCCTAATACTTTGTTATTAACTTTGGATTTGAAAAGAATTACTGGTTTGGAGACTAAGTGATTGGACAAAATACTTGTATTTTTGAAAATAGTGAATTTCCAAGAATCAGAGTTTACAACATATAGAAACATCCCAAGTCTTTAAAATAGGAAACTATTAATTACAAGAATCAAAGCTAATCAGCCTATGGATTGTAATAATGCACGTAATCATAAAATATAAGGATTCCTAAAATATAATGGTTGACTAAGTGATTTCCTAACCTCCCCCTCAAGGTGGGATGCATGCATAGATCATTCCCAACTTGTCTATCAAATCTTCAAAGGCTAATTTGTGTAGGCTTTAAGTTAGAATGCCTACAGTTTGCTCCTTCACATATGTCATGCACACACTTCCATTTTCTAATTTATCTTAGATGAAGTGGTAATCAACTTTCCCGTGCTTTGTTCTGTCACGATGGACAGAGTTATGAGCAATATTGTTGGGTACCTTTTTATCACAATACAGCCTTATAGGGACCAGGATTTATTCAATTCATGTAGTCATCTTAACCATTATTTCCCATTATGGCTAACTTTGTGGTTGAGTGATGGGTACGGGTAAGGGTAAGGAAGGTAAGGTTATGGGTTCCCATGACTTATCTTCATCTTCCTCAATATGGTCCCCCTAAAGAGAAATCGAGAAAAAGAAGGACTAGATATCAAAGATGACATTGAGAGACACAAAGATCTTTTGTAAGAAAGGGAAATAACATTTATATCCCAATTGGTTGTTTTTTCTTTCAATTATACCATTTTGTTGGGAAGTATAAGGACATGAACTCTAGCCAATTATAGACAAATATTCTGCAAGAACAATTGAAATATTCTTTCCTAAATTCCATTCAAAGGATTTTTATTGAGATGTGAAATAAATTTTGAACCAAGATATGGAACTTTTTGAAATCTTGTTCAGCTTCTAATTTCTCTTTAAGAAGGTAAGCACAACAAACCCTAGTGTGGTCATCAAGAATGTGATGAACCATCTAGCGTCTAAGATAATTTTCACCCAAGCTAGATCCCAAATGTCTTAGCGACTCAAGGGGAATAAGGAAGACTCAGTAATTTTTTATGGATTAGTGACAAGGGAATGCTTTGCAAGCTGACAGATATCACAAGAAAATGATTTGGGGTATTTGTTCATGAAGAGGTGAGGTAAAAATTTTTGAAGTTATGAAAATTCAAATGCCCTAGCCAATGGTGCAGCATCGTTACATCATCTCTGTTATTGGAAACATGATGCTTTGCTACCATCATTACTAATAGCTTGATTTTCCACACTATCCACAACCACAAAGTAGTAAAGTACTCTGATAGAGATCAAAAGAACAATTGAGAAAATTATGGAAAGTAATACCTCAGGAACTATATATTGATATAAGCCAGCGATACAGTATTTCAGCAAAGGAAAATTACATTAACCATATCAGTATACTCCTATGGAAATGGCAATTACAGTAATGGAAAATACAGAAAAAAAGAAGAAAAGATAATGTGAGACAATTCTAGAGGTCTCACTCTCTCCCAAATCCCAAACAAGGGCCCATTCCATATTCAGATTCCAGATGTCTCCTCCAAGCACCCCATCCTGTATATTTAACTAATTCCTCCGTAACTAACTTGCTCTCCCATGCTTCCATTCTGTTTTGCTGAGTCAGTCATATTGCTTTCTCTAAATTGCCCTTAGAGTGTTAATAGTATCGTATCAATACTCCCCCCCTAACAATCACCTTGTCCTCAAGGTGATGTTAATTTTTCCGGGATCCCATTGCTTGAATTGTTGGGACCCATATATGCTTGAAGCATGATAGCTCCCACCCGAATCCCATTGCTCATCTTTGATTCCCACATATGGCTCCATGAGATCATTTGCAGAAACCAGAAGAACATAAGAATGAAATTCATTCAAAGACAGATTAGTGATGTACATGGCAGAATACATCCAAATATTACTTGTCAATGGATAAATGGCACAGCTCCTTAATTGTTCACCAGTAACACATGCACCTACACTCGCGTTAATTGAAGTTTGAGAAATGATAGCAACATGTGCAATAGTTTCAAAAACAGATCCATCCGTCACCGCACAAGCACCAACCCTATAGACAATTGCTTGTTGAAAATATGCATAGTCCTTATGATAAGCCTCAAGTAGGAAAAGAAAGTAACAGCCATATGTGTCATAATAGTGCTTAGCAACACCTTCAATTGCACAAACTGTAATTCTCCTTTCATCCCAGGTCTTAGTTTTATCAAAGACAGTTGTTGGGTATGAGGAAAATTCATCAAAGAAAGGAAAGAAAAATACCCAAATTGTGCTTATCAAAGTCTCCGATAAATCACTAACCAAAACAATTTTGCCATGCATGAGTTCACTACTCCTTTTTGTGGTTCTTTCTCTCAGGTCGCTGCCCATTTGTGATGAAGAAGCACTAATATTTTTACCTCCAAGTAAAATGGCTCCAAAAATTTTATTGATGGATGTCACCATTCCTACCCACCGATAAATGACAATTTCCCTCTCCACTGCCGCTGAATGCCCAGCTATGATGGTGTCTAAGGTTTGTACGTTCTTGCAAGAAGATATGTTAGCTTGGATTGATGGGATGGAATTATGAATTTTGGGTCTAATTAAGTCTGACCCAATCATGGGCTTATAAGCCCAAGCATCATCACAACTAATGAAAAAGAGAGGATACATACCCCTGTATTGGATTGGTACCCTATGAAAAGTGTTTTGGGCTTGCTCCATTATGCTAGCATACTGGCCCATATCTCCTAAGCCTTTCATTGACCTAATTTGTTCCTCTCTTGTTTGTGGTATCGGCGAAGCCCTCTCCCCTTCCACATAAGGGTTCACGTTCGGTGGGTCAGATTCCGTTGGTGGGTCAGCCACCTCTTCCAGTGATGGTGGCGCTGCCGGTTCCTTTGCACTCTTTAAATCCGGTGGTTCCGAACATGGCGGTGGGTCGTTCGCCGCCGTCGTTGGTGGCAACGCTGCTGGTACCCGCGCACATCGAAATATCTTCTCAACCTCCAACTCCCCTTGGTCTTCGTTTATATTTTTCATTCCAGATGTCTCCTCCAAGCACCCCATCCTCTATATTTAACTAATTCCTCCGTAACTAACTTGCTCTCCCATGCTTCCATTCTGTTTTGCTGAGTCAGTCATATTGCTTTCTCTAAATTGCCCTTGGAGTGGTAATAGTATCGTATCATACTCATTCCTCTCTAGCATTGCCTATCATCCTATTTGATTCCTATTCCTAAAAAACACAACCATGTACTAAGAACTTGGTTGTGTTTGCACACTCTCTTCCCTTAAACTCTTTAATTTCCAACACTTTATTGGGTAAATACATTGTTGTCTTTGTTAAATTTGACATTGGTTTGTGTGAAACTGATACGGACCAACCAATAAATAGAGCTAAAACAGAAATGACTCAAGAAATAAGATCTGAACATTCATCATCCATGTATTTCTCAATAACCATAGCAATCAGAAATGCCATTACAGAGAGGTTTGCAGACAATAGACGAAATTACAAGACCCCAAAAGAAATCAACAATGCTATAAAGGTAAAGATAATTGTGGAACACATATGAGAGGTTCCACTCTCTCCCAATCCCAAAAGGGCCCAAGTTCTTCAAGACTTTCCAACTGCCCCCCCTCGTTGCTCAACGCCCCTTCTTAAGCAATAGCGTAACTAACTTGGCGCTCCCACACCTGCATTCTGTTGGAGGGTACTCTCGTCCATACAGCTATTAGGACTAACAGCAATCCCACTTGGGCCAGTTGCTACAAGTGAGGCCCAATTCTTTCTGCTTCTATCCCTACGGTATACCTGTTGGGTTGGGGTTGTATCAATACTCCCCCCCAATTTATGCACTTTGTCCTCAAGGTGGAAATGTGGAAATTGTTCTTTGATGACAACGGCTTCTTCCCAAGTATTTTCGAATTCAAAGAGGTCACACCATTTAATTAAAACTTCCACTATTCCAGTTGAGGAATGACGCCATTTCACCACTGACTCGGGTAGCACCTGCAACTCCCAACTTTCTGATAAACTAGGTGGTAAAGGTTGAACATTAGGGACAGAGGATGATGCACGTTTGAGTAACGAAACGTGAAATACCGAATGCACTTGACAATTGTCTGGCAATTGCAATCGGTATGCAGCTTCCCCAACCCTTTCAATAATAGGATAAGGGCCATAATATATTGGACTTAGTTTTTCATTGACCCTTCTAGCAATGGATTTTAGTCTATAAGGTTGGAGCTTGAGGTACACAGTATTAGCGTAGCTTACTGCTATAGGTTTCATTGTATTAGACTCTAGCTTATATAAATGTGTTAGTGTATTTCTGTGTTAGTTAGAGTGACAGCTGTAAGCTAAGTGTGTGACAGCTGTAAGCTTCAATGCTGAGTCATCAGTTTGTAGTTTGTATATATATCATCTTGTATCTGAAATGTATCGTCACTTTTCATTCTTCAATAATACAAATGGGTTCTTTTCAGATTGCTCTCTTCTCTCTCTCTCTATCTCTCTCAGATCTTCTTCTCTCTTCTCCATGCAACTCTCAGATTTCTAATATGGTATCAGAGCTCTCTTTCTGAGGGCCTGATCCAGTTAGAACTCCACTATGTCTTCCGCTTCCGACTCTGATTCAAACGCATCTGACTCGAATCAACCACATTCCAGATCTAAATCTCAGAATCAACGATCTTCCAGATCTACTTCCTCATCAATGAAGATCAAGACAACTTCTCTGTTTAACCTTCAGATCTCTGCCAAACTGACAGAAGATAACTATCTTTTTTGGAATCAAATTATCGAACCGGTAATCACATCACATCAGTTGCATCATTTTCTTGTTAATCCAAAATTTCCTCTTAAATTTGATTCAGACGAAGATCGAGAGAGTGATCAATTGAGCTCAGAATATATTACATGGCTTAATCAAGATCAGATGTTACTTACATGGCTTCTGTCAACAATTTCTGAATCTATTGTCAATGATATCTTACCTGTTAAGCATTCTTTTGAGGCCTGGAATAATATTCATAAGTTGTTTCATGGAGTTATGAAATCTCGTGCTCGTCTACTCAGATCTGAGTTGAAAACGATGAAGAAAGGCTCAAAGTCCATCAAGGAATACTTAGCACACATCAAAACTCTTTATGATTCGCTGAAATCGATTGGAAAGCCTATATCAGTTGAGGAGCACACTGAAACTATTCTTGAAGGCTTACCATCAGAATATACTCTGTTTGTTATGATGATACACGGACGTGAGCGTGATTGCTCGGTTGCAGATCTGACAGTGGAGCTAATGGCTCATGAACAACTTCTAGTCAAGCAAAATGATAATCTCCTAACTGAAGGAGTAGCTGTGAACCTCACCCAACGTTCTCCAAGTTCGCTCCAAGAAGTTACTAACGAAGAAGACGACTCTGTTTCTGAAACCAGAAAACAGAGTCGAACAGAGCAATTTTCACAGCCTGTTTTTCCTTCCTCCAATGCTTATACTAATCAAAACAGAGGTCGTGGACGCTCTTTTACACGCTACAATCGAGGAAGAGGACGTGGAAACAGAGCTAATGTTCACTGCCAGTTATGTTTCAAGTTTGGCCATGATGTCACTACCTGTTGGCACCGGTTTGATGAAAACTTTGTGCGTAGCTTGCCACCTCCACAACATGTGCCATATTCTCAGTTCTTTCAACAGCAGCAACCTCAAAACACACGATCATTTCAGTATGTCAGGCCTTCAAATCAGCAACATGTCTTTTCAAATCAGCAACATGCCTTTGTTACTGCACAACAAGGACTGTTACCTACTCCAAATACCATACCACTGATGGAGTGGTTGCCAGACTCTGGTGCATCTAGCCATGTAACTGGAGGAGCACAAAACATCTCTCACAGCCAACAGCTAAATGGTTCAGACCAAGTTTTGATAGGAAACGGTCAAGGTTTGCCTATTACAGCCATAGGATCCTCTTCTTTTCTTTCTCCTCTTGATGCTACCACTTGTTTACATCTAAACAATTTATTGTTGGTTCCTTCTATTACTAATAATTTGATCAGTGTGAGTAAATTTGCTAGAGACAACTCAGTCTTCTTTGAATTTCATCCTAATGTCTGTTATGTCAAATCTCAGGTTTCACATAAAGTCTTACTTCAAGGAACTGTAGGAGCTGATGGTCTCTATCGTTTCTCTGACATTCATTTTACTTCACAAACTGATCCAGTGACCAGTAATAGTTGTCCTCCAATTAAGTGCCTGTCTACAGTTACTGATTCTTGTAATTCTCAGTCTGATCGTGCTCCAGTTTACAGTAGTGTTGATTGTAAAAATAGTTGTGTCAACACTGAAAATAGGACATTGTGGCACTGTCGTTTAGGACATCCACACTTTGATTCTCTCAAAAATGTATTGAAAACTTGCAATATTCCTTTAAGTAATAAAGTAGCTGGAGAATTATGCTCTTCTTGTTGTGTTGCAAAGGCTCATAGACTACCCTCATCACCTTCCACCTCTCACTATAAATTTCCTTTTGAATTGGTGTTCAGTGACTTATGGGGACCATCACCCTTCAAATCTACTCTTGGGAATAACTACTATATATCATTTGTTGATGCCTGCACACGGTATACTTGGATTTATCCACTTAAACAAAAATCTGATGCTATTTCCATTTTTAAACAGTTCCATGCAATGATTAAAAACCAATTTCAAACATCCCTTAAGTCATTTCAATCAGATTGGGGTGGGGAATTCAGAACTTTTACCCAATATCTAACACTTCACGGGATCCATCATAGAGTCACTTGTCCTCATACTCATCACCAAAATGGTGTTGTTGAAAGAAAGCATAGGCATATTGTTGAAACAGGTCTTGCATTACTTGCACACTCTTCCCTTCCCATGATCTATTGGGACTATGCATTTACCACAGCCACATATCTCATAAACAGATTGCCCTCTTCTTCTATTGATTTTACTGTTCCATACACTAAACTGTTCAATAAAAATCCAGATTATACCTCCCTAAAAGTTTTTGGGTGTACATGTTTTCCTTTGCTTCGCCCTTATAATAAATATAAACTGGAATATCGATCAAAAGAATGTGTGTTTCTTGGTTATTCTTCCAACCATAAAGGTTACTTGTGTCTTAGTCCTGATGGCAGAATTTACATATCCAAGGATGTACTCTTCAATGAACATAGATTTCCTTTTACCTCTTGGAAAAACAATACATCCTCTCCCACTTTACAACCCACCTCTACCTCTGTTCCCCTTACTATTTTTTCCCCACATTTATCCTCTCCACCAAATGCCCCATTTCTGCCTCAGCCCTCTTCCCCATTACCCATATAGTCACTGCACACCAATGATCCTCCTCCCTCAAGTCAGCATACACCCCCCTCTCCTATTATTGGAGATCAATCCCCTGTTAGACAGCCTGTTGATGTCAGTCCAATTCCTTCTCCATCCTCTCCAGTTCACACTTCATCTTTATCTTCCACATCCTCATCTTCTGAGTATGTACCATCCGGTTCCCTTCACACCTCTTCTCCTCCTCGTTCAATTATTACCAGGTCCAAAACTATGGCTAGAAATTTGGCTCTTCTCACTCATCTTGAACCAACTACAGTCAAACAGGCTCTCAATAGTCCTCATTGGTTAAAGGCTATGGAAATTGAATATGATGCTTTACAATCTAACAAAACTTGGTCTCTTGTTCCTTTACCTGTTGGCAGAGAAGCTGTTGGATGCAAATGGGTTTTTAAAGTAAAGGAAAATTCAGATGGCAGCCTTAACAAATATAAAGCAAGGTTGGTTGCTAAAGGGTTTCATCAAAGACCTGGTTTGGATTATACAGAAACTTTTTCCCCTGTCATCAAGCCTGTAACTGTTCGGACTATGCTTACAATTGCTCTTACCTATGGCTGGACACTAAGACAGCTAGGCATCAACAATGCTTTCTTAAATGGAACTCTACAAGAAGAGGTGTACATGCAACAACCTCCTGGGTTTGAAAGTGATGACAAGTCCTTAGTTTGCAGACTACATAAATCCCTCTATGGTCTCAAACAAGCCCCAAGGGCTTGGTTTGACAAACTCCAGGATACTTTGCTCTCATTTGGTTTTCAAGGCAGTAGATGTGATTCTTCTCTCTTCATTTATAATTCTGGTCCTCAACGCATTTATATGCTTGTTTATGTTGATGATATAATCATCACTGGGAATGATGACAACTTCATACAGTCCCTAATTTCTCGGCTTCATTCCATTTTCTCTCTCAAGGATTTGGGTGCCCTGGACTACTTTTTGGGAATTGAAGTCAGAAGACAGTCCCCTGGATCTCTCTTCCTTACTCAAACAAAATACATTAGAGAGCTTCTTCACAAAACTAATATGTTTGAAGCTAAGGCTATCTCCAGCCTCATGCCCTCTAGCTGCAAATTATCCAAGTTTGGCTCCAATTACTTTGAGGATCCTGGCTTATATGGATCAGTGGTTGGAGCTCTCCAATATGCTACCATTACAAGACCTGAAATCAGTTTCTCAGTTAATAAAGTGTGCCAGTTCATGAGCCAACCTCTTGTGGATCATTGGAAAATAGTCAAAAGAATTCTCATATATCTCCAAGGTACTATATCCTTTGGTCTCTCTCTGACTGCAGCTCAAACACCTCACTCGGATGCTTTATTTCACTTGGCAGCCTTTTGTGATGCTGATTGGGGTAGTGATCCTGATGATAGGAGGTCTACCTCTGGTGCTTGTGTATTCCTAGGTCCAAATCTCATCTCTTGGTGGTCTAAGAAGCAGCCTCTTGTAGCAAGATCCACGGCTGAAGCTGAATATCGCAGCATGGCTTTAGTTTTCTCTGAAATTCTGTGGCTGCAATCATTATTCCAAGAATTGAATCTGCCTCTTTCTGTTCCTCAGGTTTACTGTGACAACTTGAGTGCTGTAGCACTTGCTCATAATCCCATTCTTCATGCTCGCACCAAGCATCTTGAGTTGGATCTTCATTTTGTACGTGAGAAGGTTTTACTCAAACAGATCACTGTTGCTCATGTCCCTGCTTCAGACCAGATAGCTAACATTTTTACTAAGCCACTCTCTCCAGATCCCTTTGCTCTTTTTCGTGCCAAACTCACAGTCCTGGATTCTGCCTTGCAGCTCCAGCCCTGATGAGTTTGTGGGGGAGTATTAGCGTAGCTTACTGCTATAGGTTTCATTGTATTAGACTCTAGCTTATATAAATGTGTTAGTGTATTTCTGAGTTAGTTAGAGTGACAGTTGTAAG